GAGAAGATAATGCTAAGTGAAGTTAGCCAATCCCCAAAAAACAAATGCCGAATGTTTTCTCTGATATAAGGAAGCTGATTCATAGTGGGGTAGGGAGGGGGAGCATGGGAGGAATATTTTAGATAGGGCAGAGGGGTGGGAGGGAAAGAGAGGGAGTAGGGGATTAGCAAGGATGGTGGAATGTGATAGACATCATCATCCAAAGTACATGTATGAAGATGCAAATTGGTGCTGTCATACTTTGTATACAAGCAGAGATATGAAAAATTGTGCTGTATATGTGTAATAAGAATTGTAATGCATTCTACTGTCATTTATTTTTTAAAAAGTACATAAAATAATGACATTGTGTCCATGTATAATTAAAAATATTTTTAAAAAAAAGAAAGAAAAGAAATTCTAAAGTCTCCTGGTCAAAAAGATAAGACTAACAGATCTGTGCCAAAACTGAATTTCTATATCTTCCTTCTGCTCTGTAATCAAACAATATCTTGTTGATTTTACCTCTCAGTTTCAAGGCCTCATCTCTTTTTTTCTGCTCCAGTACACTAGATCAGAACCTTACCACCTTTGCACTAAAATGCAACATCTTCTAGTCAGTCTTTCTGTATCTAGTGTACTACTACTCAAACTGTTGCACAGAGCCCCTGTGCTTCAGTTCCAACTGAAGGATGGGGTATTGGGGATTGACCTAGGGCTGTGCTCTACCAGTAATACAACCTCCAGCCCTGCCATGGTCTTTTATTAATTTTGCATGTGTACCTCTACATATTTAATTTTCTCTATCTGGAATTTCTTGTTATTCCCCACTACCCAAACAAATTTACTTGGCAAATTCCTACTCTTGTAACCAAGCTCAAGTGACAGTTCCTCATTAAAGCTGTCCCCAAAACCTTTAACAGAAATAGTAGATACACAAATACTGAGGAAACTTCTAATATAGTGCTAATTGCTTGGGATTTTAAATTATTTACATGTCTTTCTTCTTCAATAGTTGTTATAAAGCAGGAACTTTATCATTTAGCTTTGTATTTCTAACAGTATGACACATAGTAGGTACTCAACAAATCCYTCTTTCTTTTATAAAAAAATATTTATTTTTTAGTTGTAGTTGGACACAATGCCTTTATTTATTTCTTTTTATATGGTGCTGAGGATCAAATCAAGGGCCTCTCACATGCTAGGCAAGTGCTTTACAAATGAGCCACAACSCCAGCCCCTTAATAAATGTTTCTTAAATAAGAAAACTATTCTAAAGATGGATAGAATTGTTATAGGAAGGGCACATATAAAAATGTTTATAGATAAAACAAATGACACATATTAGTTGCTAACTTTCTGGATAATTCAAATTTTGTGAATTTAATATACTAGCATACAGTACATTCCAGGTCCTACTTGGTACAATATGACAATGAAAAAAAATAAAAGACATACAGATTACCAACTAACAAAATTTTTCCTGCTTACAGATCACATGACTCTTTACACAGAAAACCCTAAAGAATCTTTATAAAAAACCTACAGAGATTAGTGAGTTGAGAAAGGCAATAGGTGATACACACACAAACACAGTTATATTTCAATATAATTAATTCAATATAATTAATTACCAAATTGAAATTAATTTTCTGGGGGGGGGTACGGGGGATTGAACTCAGAGGCACTTGACCACTAAGCCACATCCCCAGCCCTATTCTTTATTTTTATTTATATACAGAGTCTCACTGAGTTGCTTAGCACTTCGCCATCATTGAGGCTGGCTTTGAACTTCAGGTCCTACTATCTCAGCCTCCTGAGCTACTGGGATTACAGGCATGCACCACTGTGCCTGGCCTTGAAATTAATTTTTAAGTATACTTTACAATATCTCTAGAAAACATTATACACTTAAGTATACATCTACAAAAAAGGTCCAAAATATGTAGGCTGAAAAATATAAAACACTGATTTAAAAAAATTCAAGACTATCTTATTTGGTATGGATTTCATGGATCAAAACATTTAATATTCTTAAGATGTCAGTATTCTCCATAATTGATCTATATCAATTCATCCTATACAAAAATCTCAGATGGCTGTTTAGTAGTAAAAGTTAAGCTCATTCTAAAATTTATATTAATAAAGGAACTAGAATAGTTAAAGCAATTATTATTAATATTATTATTTATTTTATTTATTTATTATTTTGGTACAAGGGATTGAACCCAGGGATGATTTACTACTGAGTTACATTCCCAGCCCTTTTTATTTCTTACTTTGAGATAAGGTCTCACAAAATTGATTAGGTCTTACTAAACATTGAGCCTGGCCTTGAACTTAAGACCCTTCTGCTTTGGCTTCTCAAGTCATCGAGATTACAGATGTGTGCCACCATGCCCAACTTAGTTAAAGCAATTTTGAGGAAAAAAAAAGTTAGGACTCATACATGTTTTCAAGATTGGAAAATTTGACATCCATATGCATAAAAATAGATTTTGACTACACACCTCATATGATCTACAAAATTCAATTYTAGATGAAAACATAAAAGAAAATCTATATGACCACAGGTTAGGGCACTGTTTTTCAAGCATTGGCAATATTTGGAGACATTTTTGGTTGCTACAATATGGGGGTGGTACTGGGATTAATCCAGTAGAGGCCAAAGATTCTGTCAAATATTCTACAGTGCTCAGACAAGCTCCCCCTAACAAAGAAATATTATGAATGCCAAAGTTAAATAGGCTTGGGCTAGGCAAAGATTGTTTTAGATACAGTAAAGGCAATATACAGTAAAAAATATTCATAAATTAGACAAACAAAATAAAAAATATTTTTCTCCTAAGATACTGTTACAAAAATAAGTGTAAAGCCACACTTCATACTTGAAGACAATACTTGGAAAACCTATGTGCTTACATGCAAATAAACACAGGAAAAGAGGGTCACCATGCTTAATCACTAGGGAAATAGAATTAAAACTACAATAATTATTATTTTTAAATTTTTTTTTATTTTAAATATTTTTTAGTTGTTGATGGACCTTTATTTTTTTTTTTTATTTATTTGTACGTGGTACTGAGAATTGAACCAAGTGCCTCATGCATGCTAGGCAAGTGCGCTACCACTGAGCCACAACCCCAGCCCAAACTACAATAAAAAGACTGACCAGTATAAACTTTGGGATAGATGTGGAAGCACTAAGACTCTTATATACTAATAGTGCTACTTAAAATGGTAAAACTTTCTGGAGCAGTGTGTACCTGTAATCCCAGCAACTCAGGAAGCTGAGGCAGGGGGCTATAAATTGGAGGCCAAGCTTGGTAACTAAGTAAGACCCTGTCTCAAAATAAAAAATAAAAAGGGCAGGGGGTGTAACTCAGCGGTAGAGTGGCTCTGGGTTTAATCCCCAATACTTAAAAAAAAAAAAAAGACAAAAGTATAGTCACTTTGGAAAACAGTTTGTAAGTTTCTTAAAAAGTTATATACCTTTATATAAATATATAAAGGTATATAAATATATATATATATACCTTTAATACTAACCAGATATTCCATTTCAAGGTAGTTACCCAAATGAAATGAAACCTTATGTTCACAAAAAATTTATTCACAAATATTCATAGCAGCTTTATTTGTAATACGTAAAAACCTAATACAACCCAATTTCCAGAATTAGGTAAATGAATTAATGAACTGTAATCCATACAATGGCAATACAAAGGAATGAACTCTTTTAAAGTTAGGACAACAGGGATAATCTCAAAATAATGGTGTATAAAAGAAGACTCCAAACCTTTTCCCAAGAGTAAATATGGTATGACTCCATTTATAAACAATTCTAGAAAAATACAAGCTATTTTATTGTGACAGAGKGTACTTTATTTTCAACTTCTCTATAAATTTAAATAATATTCTCTATTTTAATAGGATTTTTTAGATCATAGGTTTTAAATAAATTTTAAATAAAAGTTAATGACCTATTCTTAAAATTTTATTAGAAAAGATTTATCTTATTATATATTATAATAGGATTTTTGAGATCAAATGGTTAAAATTTTAAGATTAAATGGTTTTTTAGATTAAATAGTTCTTGTATGGGAAAAACAATTCATTTTCAGTGGTTGTTGGTATTATGGTGAACTGAACTGATGGAAGAAGATAATCACATGACAGATGAGTTGAATGAATATAATGAGGTTTTGCAATAGAAAACTCTTAATGGTAGCAAGAAAGGTGACTAATTAGAAAAAGAATAAAGGACACCCCTGTATTTGGGTGTTATTCTGGGTCAATGTGTTCACAGACTCCATTTAAGGCCTCACATATAATGTGAAAATACCCAAATTCCCCTCAACAACATTACAGGAATTAAGATTTTGTCCTGCTTCATAAAACAAGACCAATATGAAAGTTAAGAATTCAAGACTATTCYCCAATACACCTTTCTTGACATAGAGTATCTAATTCACTAAGTAAATATCTTCTCTAACTAACTTACTGAATAGAGTATCAATTTTATTGTAAAGAGAACACATATGGGTTAGACAGTCTCAATACTTCCCTGTATTTTGTCCCTTGAGTCACATGAACAAAATGTATGCATATTTACATAAGTAGAACCCTCTGAAAACAACAATGTATAGATCTTTTAACCATCTTCCCTGTTCTAAAGTTTTTATATATCAGACTGCTTTCTACTCCCTCATAAACATTTTTGTCTTATAAAGGTTGAAGAGCACCTGACTTTCACAATGGTCTAAGCAATCTTAACTCTAAGACAAAGAGGAATAGAGTTCAGCATCTCTGGACTAATTGTTTGAAAGTGACATGGAAAATAGATAATTTAACACAAAAATATCTTTTTAAAAAATTTCCACTAAAACTTTGAAAAATAGTCTCAAAATTAAAATAATTATAAAGCACAATGGTCACAAAATGTACCACAACTCTGGTAAAGCTATTTATTTTAATTAAAAATACAAAATAGAAATTATTTTTCCCTAAAAAATTCACCAATTAAAATCACTTTTAAAATGGCATTTTCAAGTTCATGTTTAATGTTTAGGTGATTTCTAATTAAAGGCAGAAAGCCAGGCTTTGTGGCATACCTAGCTACTTGGGAGGCTAAGACAGGAGCCAGCTTTGGCAACTCAGCAAGACTTTGAAAGGTTGAAGATGTAGCTCAGTGGCACTGTACTTGCCTAGCATACCTTGGGTTTAATCCTCAAAACTGAAGACAAAAACAAAACAAAACAAAACAAAAAAACCCCAATCCATGAATAGATAAACTCATGATATTATGACATACTTGATCCCAAGTTGAAATATTCACATTACATAAGGAAGTAAATATATTAGAAATCTTTAGCCTTTTGATCTTTTAAAAATTCTATTATTTTATAATTAAAAAATAGATTTATATTTACAGAAAAGTTACAAATAAAGTACAGAGAACCATTTGATTTTGTTAATTAATCTCCTTGATCATAAAGGGGCTGTTATCAGCCATCATCACATTTCCTGGGGTTGAGGTKATAGCTCAGTTGGTAGAGTACCTGCCTTGCATGCACAAGGCCCTGGTAYCACAAACAAAAAAAGAATAAACATTTCCTGGGTAGCAGAACCTTTTTTTTGAACAGGATCTCACTATGTTGCCCAGGCTGGTCAAATGATCCTCCTGCCTCAGCCTCCTGGATTGCTGGATCAACAGGCATGTTACACCATGCCTGGCTAACAAAGCCACATTTTCAGAGAAGATGTGGTAAAGTCTCTCCTCTTGGCTAAAGTAACAGACACCTCTGTTTAACCTGATTTCACCAAAAGYCCTTTTCCTCCTCTACCAGTTACCCAATTCTAAGATGTCACTGTAGACAATTCTTCCAACTTCTTTTCTCACGAAAACAAAACAGAATTAAAAAGGTGACTTCAAGGTTTTAGAAAAATATAGCTAATTTTTTTTTCCTTTTTGTTAAGAAAGTTAAAAAAATAAATGCTATCCTGGACCCAAGTTTAAAAAACTTCAACTCTTAAAATAGTTTCAAAACACATTACCTCAAAATTTCCTAGAAGACTAAGACTTGTTATAGGTGGAGCACTAGAACTCAAAAAAGGTTTTTCATGAATATCTGGATCATCTTCAATGTTTAAACATGGCCGAGTACTAAACAAAAAACAAATCAATAAAAGAATACATTAAAAACAATCTTTTCTAATTTACTTTTTACAAAATTAAATTAGGAGAATCTGAACAATTTTACTCAAACCACCATAATAATAAAATTAATGTCATCAAATTTTAAAACATAAAATTTATAGTTTAAAATTTCAGATTAGATTTCCTGTTATAATATTTAATATTATGCAGAATATCCATATATCTGATAAAGGATGGAGATATGTATATGTATCTCAATCATGCTAAAGGTTTCCAGGTGGAATTTATGACATATCATATAGTGGCAGCTACCAGAAATATTAAATAATTCAGATTTCTATATCAATCTTCATTTTTAGCTGAAAATAAAAATAAAAAGGCAAAATTATGTGACCAAAGGATATAATCAGAATGCTGTGGATGTAGGTCAGTGTTAGAGCATTTGCTGAGAGAGAGAGAGAGAGAAAAGAAAAGAATAGAAAAGAATAGAATAGAATAGAGTAGACTAGAATCTGAATATTACTTGCCAACATGGAAAAAACTGCTAAGGCTTTCTTTTTTGCAAAGGAATAAAAAGTAGAGTTTAATGATCAGAGATATATAAATGTAGCTAAATGTTAAAATCTCTGTGCTTATTATGACTGTTGYTACTCATTGTCTCAATTTCCTTCTGATTTATCCTTAATAACTGTGTATGAATAGTATTATATTGAAAATAAGATTTCTATTACAATTTGACCTTTACACTTAATATTATTTATTGTGCAAGATCAGAATTGTGTGAAATTCTGTTTCATGTACACAAAGAAATAAATACCTTCTAGATGATAAGCTTTTCAGATGCAATAATGAAGAATCCAGATCAAAGCAACCCGATTGTGTCTTTCTTTGAGGAACCTAAGGTCAAAATAATCATTTGTAATATCAAAAGACTAATTTTTTCTTGAATTGAGAAAATGACTTTCAAATGAAAGCTACACTTATCTTTAAAATAATAAGATTTATATCATACCAGTTTACTTCAAATAATATTATTTACTACATATTCTTCTTTGCCCATCCCAATCACTATAACATTCCCAAGTAGTCTAAAGCTTTACAGAAAATAGGTTTGGAAAATACCACCATGGATTTCCAAACACTGTGTATACCAGATTACAGTGACAAACCACCACTTACTCAAAACATCCTAAAAATAAAATACCCAGATATAAATTTATTTTGTGAGAAGGTATCAGAGATTGTATCAGGGATTGAACTCAGGGGCACTCAACTACTGAGCCACATTCCCAGCCCTATTTTGTATTTTATTTAGAAACAGGGTCTCACTGAGTTGCTTAAGTCTCGCTTTTGCTGAGGCTGGCTTTGAACTTGAGATCCTCCTGTCTCAGCCTCCCATGCAGCTGGGATTACAGGTGTGCACTACCTCACCTGGCTCCAGATATAAATGAAGGATAAAATATACAACATGAAAATTAGATTTGATGGGCTGAGGTTGTGGCTCAGTGGTAGAGCACTCGCCTAGCATGTGTGAGGCCCTGGGTTCAATCCTCAGCAACACAGAAAATAAATAAATAAAATAAAGATGATATTGTGTCCAACTAAAAAATAAATATTAAAAAAAGTTAGATTTGAGGGCTGGGGTTGTGGCTCAGTGGTAGAGCACTTGCCTCRCACATGAGAGACCCTGGGTTCGATCCTCAGCACCACATAAAAATAAATAAACAAAATAAAGGTATTGTGCCAATGCATAACTAAAAAAATATTTATTTATTTATTTTTAAAAATTTTATTCTTTTTTTAGTTGTAGATGGACACAATATCTTTATTTTATTTTTATGTGGTGCTAARGATCGAACCCAGGCTGGGCCTCACATGTGCTAGGCGAGCGATCTACCACTGAGCCACAACCCTAGCCCTAAAAAAATATTTAAAAAAAAAAAAAAGTTAGATTTGATTCTTGAATATTAAACGTGTAAAGTATCTGATTTACTGGTCCAATTGGCATTAAAATATCTACACATTAAAATTTTTCAGAGTGGTACAAGKGTACCATGCTATTTATTTTAGTTAGAACTTATTTGTAAAATTTTCAATCTAAACTCTCATGATTTCTGGAATGTTCTCTATCTTCATTTCTTCTAATATTGGGTTTATTATTTAATCTAGTCTTTCTTTTAGAACATCTGCTAGACTTATATTGAACACATCAATCTACCTTCTGTGGCTCTTTAGATTTTATCATTTATTTCCCTTTTTGTACTTCCTTCTAGGTGCTATGTATGTACTCAGTTGCTAAATTTCTATTCAGCTAATCTATTATTTTATCCATCCAAATACAATATTTTTTATATCTATAATTTCTATTTAGTTATTTTTTAAAAGCATGTGTTCTTTCATCTTAATTCCCTATCTTTGCCTTCATTTAGCACTTAGAGCATTTAAACAGAATTATTTTAAATTCCCTTTCAGGCTACTCTGGTGACAGGGTTCCTATTATGTGAATTCTTACGTTTCTTGTTCCTACTAATGAATTTTTAAAGGTGCTTTGTAATTTTTTCCTCTCTGAGATCATTATCAACAAGAGGTAATTTTTTTAAAGAAAATCAGTCCTTAGTGCCCTATAGATGTAGGATGGTTTGCTTCCTCCACTGGTTCACAATTTGGATTTCATGGATTCAAATTTAGTTTTTATGGCTATTTCTTAGCTAGACGTGTCTAAATATCATTGTGGGGTTTTTGAATTTATGCTACCTATAAGTGCTTTAGGTTTTAGGTCTAATTTCTTCTGGGGGTTTCTTTTCCTCACTTACTCCACATATCCTTGGAATATTTTGAGTAAAGAGGTGAATTAAAATTTTTTTCTCATTTAATAGAAAGCCAGGCCTTCCCTGGCTTTAATGAAGAGTTTAGTTTTTTCCAGCTGTGACTGATGCAGACTTGCATCCTTGACTCCTAGCCTAGTAGGAGCATTATACCATACCTTCACTCTGCATTAGATTCAGATTTCCCAGAGGACTACAATTTTCCCCAAGTTAGTACTTGGGGACTTMTTTTTCTTATTCTTATACATTATGTATTTAGAAATTGTTGTATTTTATCCAAGACTTCTATGTTTGAAAGGAAGAAGAGTTTTCCTGTATTTATCTCAGTCCAACATATTGACCAAAGTCTTGTCTTACCTCATGTTTAACTGAGATGGCAGCCATATCAACTAATTACAGAGTACTTACTGTGTACCAAGAATCATTCTAATTATCATCATAATACTAAGAGAGGAAAACCTGAAGGTCTCAGAGATTTTTTTCTTACCTAATGTTACAAAGCTATGGTGAAGTCATTGTGACTCCAAGGAGATGTTTTAAACTGTTGCACTCAAATCTATAAACCTATTTGTAAACACAGAATAGGGATATTTATATGTCTCACAATAAGACAACTAAATTCATGAGTTTAAAATCAAAGACAGGTATCAATTTATTTTTTATTTTTATTTTTTTAAGAGAGAGAGTGAGAGAGAGAAAATTTTTAATATATATATATATATATATATATACATACATATATATATATATACATACATACATACATATTTTAAGTTTTCGGCAGACACAACATCTTTGTACGTGGTGCTGAGGATTGAACCCGGGCCGCACGCATGCCAGGCAAGCGCGCTATCGCCTGAGCCGTATCCCCAGACCCGACAGGTATCAATTTAGTTCCCAGATGAACACATTCATCAATATCAGTACTTACTGAGATATAATAACTTTTTTTTGGTACTGGCAATTGAACCCAGAGGTGATTTACATTCTCAGCCCTTTTTATTATTTTTTTAAATTTTGAGACAGGGTTTCTCTAAGTTGCTGAGGACCTCACTAAATTGAGGCTGACCTCAAACTTGCAGTTATCCTACCTCAGCTTCCTGAGTCACCAAGATTATAGGCACCACACCCAGCTACAAAGGCTATTATATAAAGTCCCCTAGACATGAGTTTTTTTTGGCATTAATAACAATAAAAATATTGTTATTTTATGAAAATTTTAAAGAATTTTATGAAAAATTTTAATTCTAATACAATAAATATAATTTTTATTTATTTTTAGTGTTTTCCCCCCATATTATCACCTGGGTGTTATTGTGCTATCAAATAATAAAACGTTTTACAACTGAAAATTTATTTCAAAAGCACTTAAATTTTTTTTACAAGTTAAAATTTGAATGTAACTCTTGCAAATATTTTAAATATTTGTAGGTTTTCAGAATGAGATAAGATTAAAAAAAAAAAAAAAAAAAAAAAAAGCACTTACAGGACTTGAAAGAAGAGGCAATCCAGTTCGAGGATGAAAGGCTCTGGTTGAGGTTCCATCCAAGGAATGGAAATTATGTTTTCGCCAGACACTTGAATGTTTCAGTGTGGTCCTCTGTTAAGAAAATAGATTTTTTTTTTTTTTTAGTTGTCCTGGGGATTGATCCCCAGGGACTTTCTACTACTGAATGTCATCTCTAGTCCTTTTTATTTTTTTATTTTGAGACAGGGTCTTGCTAAATGTCTAAGCTGGTCTTGAGCTTGTGATCCTGCTGGGATTACAAGTATGTGCCACAGCACCTGGCTAAGAATTAGAATTTAATGGTATATTTAAATACCATTTAAAGAACTTGTGTAGCTTTTTGGTTTTTAGATTCATTCTTAATGCATTTGAGGTTTATATCCCTGGTGCTGAAGCTGATAATGTATCTCTATTTTGTCTACACACACACACACACATTCTAATTAGAAAACAATGCCTAAGATATTTTAATACACTGAATACACACAAATATTCTAAAGTATGCCCCAACATAATTGCCTTCTTAACATGTTAACTCAGAATCTAGCATCTAGTAAGCTAATATTTATTTTAATTTGTAAAAATACAATGATTCACAGGTGGAAAAACTTAGTACAATATTCTAAAGCAAAATTTTGTTAAGTATTGTTTTCAGAGGATTTAATTTGGTGATACAGAAACATATGAAATATTACTAATTTAAAAATGCAGCAGCTCAGGAGGTTGAGGCAGGAGGATTGCAAGGTCAAGGCCAGACTCAGCAATGAAGGGATACCTGGTCTCAAAACAAAAAATAAAAAAGGACTGGGGATGTGGTTCAGTGGTAAAGTGCTTCTGGGTTCAATCCCAGGTACCAAATAAATAAATAAGCAGTCATAGCACTATGGTTTTGATGTTAGTCAAAAAAGAAGTAAACCATATGTGGTAGCATATGCTTGTAATCCCAGCTCCTCAGTAGCTGGGGCAGGAGGATCACTTAAATCCAGGAGTTTGACGTCAATCTAGGCAATGAAGTAAGCTAATCTTAAAAAATTAGGAAAATGTACGTAAAGATCAAAATTTCATAAAGAGCACATGAATAAAAATTAGGGGGAAAAACGATTAATTTAGATCCTGGTGCTACCAAGTACTAGCTCTGAGACCTTGAATAAATTACTTTAATCTCTGGCCTATAGTTCTCATCTACAAACTGTAGTAAAAGCACCTAACCTTACAGGCTAGTGAAAAGATTCAGTAAATTAACATGTAAAATACGCAGATGAGAATGCTTGAGTACACAGTAAACAGCAAATGATTATATTTAAAAGAAGCACATGAAAAAAATGATTACAGATTAAGCTTCTCTATTAGGCATCACAAAGAATAAAAAATGATGGAGTCTTGTTATGCTGCCCAGGCTGTAACTTGGGATCTTCCTGCCTCCACCTCCCAAATAGCTGGGATTACAGGTGTTCACTGCTGGGCCCAGCAAAAACACTAATATTTTGAAGGCCAGAGAAGGTTTCTGTGACAATTGTAGTTTTATGGAATGTATTTTATTTAGGTAGAACATTACAGATTTATGAATTATTTTTAAATCTATTATTCAATCATTAATGCAACTCTGAGAGAGGCAAAAGACATTTAGCCTTCTTGTAAACTGACATGAGGTTTTTAGAAGTTATTTGATTTATTTGGTATAACTCAAGGACTAAACTGTGAAGCCCAAACTACAACTAGATGTTTTGACTAATAGCTTAGTGATTCTCCTAGAGACATGCCTAAAACTATTAACTGGGGTGGGGCATAAATATCTGGCAAACAGTATGTACTATGTCAGAGTAGCTGACAAAAAAATCAAGCTAATGTGAGTTTCTTTTCAATTCCTGTTTATCTCTATCAATTATTCATAAATATTAAAATTTAAAAAAACAGTAAGAATTAAAATGAACCAAGGACTTGTATAGTCCACAAATTTGTCCTTCATTATATAAGGCAGAAGGAAGAACTGTGGATTGAAAGTCCAAGACCTGAGAAAGGGCATGGTGTGCCAGTTCAACCCCCAAAGACTTTTATAGCTACTGGTATGTCATTTATTCTGAGTCTCAGTTTCCTCATCTGTCCTACCTGTCATAGTAAAGTACAAAAAGAACCAAGTGTTTTCTAATCATGTATTATAACTGAAAGCAATATATAAATACTATACAAAATCAAAGTGTTTTTATATCTGTAAAGCATTCATTCTCTTAAATCCCAAAATTATTTCTTCTGAATASAAGAAAAAGGAACAGATCTTTTAGATTGCAGATAATGGGGAAGAAACAGAGTTAAAAGGTCTCAATAATAGACTAATAAATCACTAAAAAAATTATTGTCAGAAGAGCAGTTTTTAAACAATGAGATCTTTATTTTTTCTATGTACCTGGTACTTACCTTCAAGAGAGTATGTTATTTGTAAGGAGACTAACAGTTTGTAGAAAGCTAATTATATCAGAGTGAGTGTTCTATGGATAATGGACACCTCAGATCTTTAATAACTAAACTAGATCTTCTGTGAAGAAAATTCAAACCATAACAGTTGAGAATTATATTTGAAATATAAGATGTTACCTACCAATACTTCTGTATTTTTTAGTCGTTCACATGTAGACAAACAGTCTTTTATACTCTTTCTTTGAGAACAATTTTGAGGTTTTTCATCAGTTGAATCTTTCTTATCCTTATTTTTTAATTGGTTTATCTTTTTGCATTTAAATCCTTCATCATCTTTATTGAGATAATTTTCTATGCTATTAAGTCGAGTATTTTGTTCACATGTCTTTGGTCTTTTTGAGTCTTTATCTGAACAATTATTTTCATACTTATTCAGATATTCAGACATTTCCAACATAGTAACTTTTAACTTTGAGTCACTTGTCTTTGAATTATCATACTGGAGATTGTCAAAGGATTCTGGATTACAATTTTCATTTTTTATTATTTTTTCTTTGCACTTACTTGTGCAAATATGTTTGTCAATACTGTTACATTCTGAATACTGTTTATCAATTCCATTGCTAATTTCTTGCTCCTTAAATTGAGACTCAGAAAGTGTATTTTCCAATCTGCTTTTCAAATCTAAGTTACTTTCATTGCAATGAGACATATTTGAGGAAGTCAATACACTAGAAGCTTTGTTCTGTGTCTCTTGATATATATTTTGGATGATTTGRCTAGGACTGTTCTGACACTGATTTCTTATTTGAGGTTTCAAAGAAGACTTTCCTTTACAAGAACTAAAAGATTTATTAGGCATTAAATTTTTCTCATCACTGTTGTCTCCTAACAAGGAAAATTTTGTATGAGAAATGGAAATGGAAGAGGAATCATCCTTAGTTTTCTTTAGCAAATTTTTGTCTTCATATAAGCTCCTAAATACTTTAGAAGGAACCAAATTGGAATCATGCATGTTGAATGAGGGACGAGGAATATGTGATGCTGTTGGATCAATGTGCTCCAAATGATGAGCAATTCTTGCAATAACATCTTGTCGTTCCTGGAGTAAAGAACCTATCAAAGGATTAATCTCTCCAACAGAACGATGAGAATAAAGACCATTAGAAATGCAAGTTTCACTTTGGGAACTTTCTGATTTTACATTCAATTTCCCCTCATTGGTGCCTTCTGAGCAAGTAAACTCTGGATTACCAAAAGAAACAGTGAAAGTTTCTTTACATTTTCTCACATTTTCATTTTCCTGTGAAACCCGGTAAAGTTTGGAATTAAGTGAACTAGATTCTTGAATTGTAAATGGATGTCCAGAAACATGTGAAGTGCTTGGATCACAATGAATCAAATGCTGAGCAATTCTTGCAATAACTTCTTGTCGATCCTGGATTAAAGAGTCTATTAAAGGGTTAGTATCACCAACTGTGTGCCAGGAACTCTGGTTGCTAGAGACACTAGAATCAATCATTGAAAATGATTTTAAAGTTCTCACTGATGTCTCATGTGACTTTATATCTCCTATACCACTGAAGTCCAAAATATTGGCTTGAGATGTCCCATAGTCAGATTTATTGCCAGAGCCTGAATATAGTTTGACATTTTTGATGGCTGCAGTATACTCTGGAGTTGTGCCCCTTTTTCCATGTAATACACTTTCAGAAGCCATGGTCCAAGCTGGTTTGCTACACAGACGCTGTGAACTCTTTGGACTACATTGTTCTGCTTCATTAGAATTGCGGTGCTGATGAGTTTTAAGTTCATGTTCTTGAATTCTTTTCTCATACAGGCCAATGTTAGTGTGAATACTACATGTCAAAACTGGGTAATAAGATTGTCTGGGTAAAGAYTGAACGCTGACTTTCAAGGCCACATTGTGAGAAACGTTGGGAACAGGAAACACATGTTCAATTGGAGTCTGTGAAAAATTCCACTGAAGGTCTACATCAGCAGCACTGATTCTAGAGTCAAACAGTAAAATACAGAATCAATGGATTATAAAAGTCACATGTTTATCATTGTATATTAAAGAATATAAAGCATACTTATCTTTGTTTGCATTAAGTACCACTGAAATTTACTTTTAGCCACTTTGCCATGCATATTACTCTGATAAAATGAGTCTGAGATTGTGGCTCAGTGGTAGAGGCACTGGGTTCAATTCTTAGCACCACATATAAATAAATAAAGGTCCATCAACAGCTTATAAAATATTAAAAGAAAACCCAACATAAGTGGTATCTTATGCTTAGAAGAGATGATCTTTTTAAGAACACCAGACTATTTAAGTATTCAAGCTCAAGAATATTATCATCAAAAATATATTTGTCAAAATAAAAAGAATAAATGGATTCAGCTAATTTTATTGTGCAAGGTGACTAAGATAAACTATTTCATGACCACCTGACTAAAGAGATAATAGTTGCTTGGTAGGAGGTATGTGTGTGTTATTTTAGGTAAGGTCTCACTATGTTGCCCAGGGTAGCCTCAAACTCAGCTCTTTTCCCTCAGCTTCCTAAGTAGCTGGGACTAAAGGCATGCACCACCATGGCTATCTATATTCATATTTTTCAAGATGCCAAAAACTCAGGACTGGAGATGTGGCTCAGTAGTAGAATGCTTGCTTACCCTGTGTTCAATCCCCAGTACCACACACACAATAAAATTATCAAACTGTATAGTTAAAATATGTGTTTTTGCCAATCATGTGGTATATGTCCGTAATTCCAGTTACTAGTGAGGCTGAGACAGAAGGATCTCAAGTTCAAGGCCAGTCTCAGCAACTTAGTGAGACTTAAAAAGGACTGGGGATATAACTTGTAGTGGTAAGGTGCCTCTGGTTCAATCCTCAGTAGGAAGGAAGGAAGGAAAGAGAAAGAAGAGAAATTCAGAATCCCATAAAATATTTCCACTTTATAGTGGTAGCAGCAAATTGTTCTTCTCCAAAGTAAGTTTAAAAAATTTATTTCAACAAGTAAAATTCACACTAACTCAACCTAAATTCTCAAACTTGTTTTGAGAAAATTCTCATTAAATTTTATCCATTTATATTCAGAAATGAAGAAAAGAAACTATTTTTTAAAAATCACATTCAGTAAGTTAAGCAATGTGAATATACATGTCCCTTTTTTKCCTTAGACATACCTGTAAAGAATATTTCGTGGAATAGCACCATGAGAAACACTCAGCCATGCACTTAACTGAGAAAAAAACACAAACGAGCGGACAGCCAACAGAAGAGTCTTCTCTTCAATGAATCGATCACCATTCCTAATGAAAGTAACAAAGCCTAATTTAATTGTCATCAAGTACACATGATTGAATTTTAGGAAGACAGAAGCTGAAATTAACATATCACTTAGGAGGTAGGCTTTTAAGAGCAAAAGAATGAACGTACCAATGTCAAAGTTATGATTACTTAACATAAGTATTAAACATCTAAGTATTAAATTTTACTACATAGAGGGATTCAAAGATATGATATAATATTTTTAAAAAACTATAGGAARTAATAAAAAAACTTGATTTATCAGGATCAACTTCAAACTTAAGCTCAACTACTTACTGTCGAGGAACTGGCTCCAATATCCATCTTTCTAATAGTAATGCATCTTGCTTAATTGCAGGATCATTTAGGTCAATGCCTTCTGTGGTAGGCCCATCATCACTGTAGCAACAGTCTGGTAGTAGCATCACTTCCACCATGATTGGAAGATTATTCTTCCACAACAATGTGACCTCAGACCTGGTTCGTCTGGCTTGGCGACACTTTGAGAAAATGAATATGAGCAAAATTTCTCAATAATCTGCCTAACTTTGTATTTAAGTTTTAAAATTGTAAAGTAGAGGGGCTGAGGTTGTGGCTCAGTGGTAGAGTGCTGCCTCTCATGTGCGAGGCCCTGAGTTCGATCCTCAGCACCACATAAAAATACATAAGTGAAATAAAGGTATTTTGTCCAACTACAACTAAAAACTAAATATTAAAAAAATTGTAAAGTAGATATTAATTAGAAAGGAGTCACCTATTGCAGAGCTTTTGGATTTTCTCATTAAATAATGTATTCATGCTAGTGAGTTCTGAGTTCAGGGATTAGTATTGAGTATTTAAGATGCAAATTTTCTTGGGGAAGATATCTTTGTTGTATCTTGTGAAAAAATAACTGCCATACACAATGTCTGACAGGTCTCTGAGTTAACCCAGCCTTGTCTACTTTGTTAATTTCATAGGAAAGACTAATTAATTGTTTATGTGTATTAGTTACTGGTTATTGAACCCAGGGGCATTCTACCACTGAGCTTTCACCCCCAGCCCTTTCATATTTTTATTTTAATACAGGGTCTTTCCTGAAACTTGTAATGCTCTTATCTCAGCCTCCTGAGTCACTGAGATTACAAGTGTGTACCACCCACCATGCTTGGCTTAATTCTTAATTCTGAACTCATTTTCATTAAACATTCAAAACAGGTAAGATATTTTTTAAGTTTAAAAATTTGGACTACATTTGATAAACTAATAACGGGGAGAAAAGTTCCTAAGCCAAATTTTACTCTACCTAACAAAATATTTTAACAGTTATTATTCAAAAAATTAATACAATAATAAAAGGTATTCTCCCATTAAAAAAAAAGAGCACAGAGGGAAATTGGTTAATCTGAGGAAAATAATCAACTAATTTACTGAATGAACAAGAACATGAAGTGCAAGAGACAGGGCTAAAACTCTAAAAGAAAACTCAATCAAAGAGAGTCAACATGAGAGGACAGGTGTGAATCACCCTGCTGACTGATCCACAAAACTACCTGACCTGCTTTCAAGAGCCTTGTTTAAGAGCCAATTTTATATTTAAATGTGAAAATTATAATTGTGATATAATGAAGGTGATAATAGAACTTACATTAGTTTACATATATTTTTTTAAGCATTCAACCTGTGATTCTTACCTGGGCCAACTTGTCACTACATTCATGTTTTGTAGTTACTGGATAACAAGACTGTGCTGGAGGGCAATGGAAACTTTCCGTTCGACCTTTTACAGAACATTCAGGTGTTCGACCTTCTGTTATTAACAAGGCCAAAGAGACCAAGAACTCCTCTGCATCATATTCAAAATATTCATCTAGAGTATCTGGAATCAAAAGAAAAAAGAAAATCTCTGCATCATGTTCAAAATATTCATCACATTAACATACTTTTTTTTTTTTTTTTGGCAGTACTGGGGGCTGAACCCAAGATCTTGAATAAGGCAAGCCCTCCTTATTGAGCCAAACACCCAGCCCTTAAGTATTCTTAAAARGAACTCATCTATGTGCCTATAATAACAAATGTTACATTCCATATTCACTTACAAAAAGTGAAAGGAAAATACAGAAAACTCTTGATTCACACATTATACAGAATTTATAAAGAGATGATGGATGATTCCAAATTCCAGGTGAACAGACTGGTTAAAATTATGGCACAAATAAAAAAAATTACGGAAAAATTATTTTTATCTAAATTTCAACTAGACTAGTCAAGATTTAAGAATATACGCATCATCTGATGGATAATTATGTGTTTTTAAACATCAGGTACAACTTTTTTAAAAAAAAATCATTAATAGCCAAAAGGTCAAAATGTCTTTTATGTCATATTTTTTAGGTAAGAAGTTTTATTGCCATTATTAAGTATTAGAAAGAAAACACAAGTCCAACTGTGCCTCTCCCTTTCTCTCCCCTCTCCCTTCCTTAACTGATTCCTTGTTCTCATAGCACTAAATCTGTGATATGGACATTCACAGTCACAGGGTTCTTGCTGCTTCGTTATATAATAATAACAGTTTCAAAGGGACAAATGCTAAGCTAGAATCAGAAGGAGACTTATTTTGCAATACAAGGAATGTGATATTTTGGTTGTTACATAGTTACAAATAATCCAACCTACCAATGTTTTCATTTAGTTTTAGTAATTTAAAAATTTCTCAAAGTACTCTAAGTTTTTAACTTTAAAAATTATTAATTTGCTATACAAGTTGAATACTCATGAACAAATGTGCACACAATACTTCATTTAATTTATAATTTTGAAAACGTTGTTCTTATCTCTGCCAATTAAACAACAAATATTTCAAGTGTTCACTATACTATATTAGGTGATGGGGGACATAGATATATAATGTACATAGTTCTTAATTTCAAAGACTTCATGATTTAGAGATGACTTAAAGAAAACAGTACACCATACAATGGGTAGAAAGAAAAGTACAACTTGGACAGATAATTTATGTAAAGAAAGTAAGAGAAAGGAAGGACTGGATTTAGATTATGAACAATTTTACAGAAAGTAAACTTTATTGGCCCAAATTTAAGAACTTTCAGAAAATTTTCTCTAAAATAATCATGTGCAACATAAAATGACAGCCAACACTTGATAATAATTTATCATTGTCCAGTATTACCAGTGCTAAGTAGTTTCTATACATTGCTTCATTTAGCTCCATCATTTAGCTTCATTTTAAAGATAACTGAAGCATAAAGAGACAAAGTAACTTGCCTAAGATAACTCAAATAGGAAGAAGTAAATTTGGAATCTGAACCCAGTTTGGTTCCAGTATCAGCCTCTTAACTAGCATACAGGCTGTCTTTCATTATAGCTATAAATTTTATAWACTTCAATGTATTTTTTGAAATATAAATTAAAATAAGATATACATTTCACATAATTGATTTTTGTATTTTTATTTAAAAATATAGAACTGTTTTCCAAAAATAGGACCTAATTTTTATAATTCTGTGCCAATGGAAAGGTGGGGGGGGGTCAGTGTTTCTCTGGGAATAAAATTAGGTCATAAATCAAGGGTCCTCTGAGATTCACTGAGTTAAATTTATGGTGTCCTTCATAAATAGGGAGGCAAAAAACACACAAAAGAAATCTATTCAACACCTCCCTGGTGGGTTTTCAAGGGTAGCTCAGGCTTGCCATGGGCTATATGGCATAATGTTAGCTCCCAGGACATTCTCTGGACTCACCCTGTTCCCTCTCCCAGCATGTGGTATAATCCCAGAGAGCTAAGAATTATAGCAGAAAAGTGGCTTCTAATCTAATGAATACTGAAYGGTGCCAAGAAGTCAGTTACTCCATGTGAGGATGGTCTACAGCCTAAGTAATGTCTCATATATGTGCTATTATTTTTAAAAAGCCTATAGATACTAACTGTATTACTAAAATATAAATTCATATAAAAGCATCATTAAATTAATAGCAACTTTACATCATTATTTTATCACATACATTGAAAGTAAAACTTCAATAGTGTTAATGTTTCTAAGCYTTTGCCTCACGTAATTGTCACGTACATGACAAGTTTCAGGATAACTGCTGAGGAGTATCTTATCAGCTTGCTTATGGTTGCTAAGCACTCACACAACTCACAGTGACCTTAGCATCATTTAAGTCATGTAAATGAAGGGCTTTATCTGTACCTGTGAATTACTGGGCTGGAAACAACAAATAAAGAGTTAACTGTTATCAAGGAAATTGGCTAAAACTGTAACTTATTCATGGACGCTAAAAGTTAGGGCATAAATATACCACAAGGGGAAAGTTTTGACAATAAAATCTCAGGAAACCTGAGTTCTAGCCTCAATTTATCCAGTTTATAAATACTCTCCAATTAAGAGATATATAGAACACGAGTCCACACTGGTAGACAAAACTGGTAGACAAAACAATTAAATACAAATTTACTGTGGTAACCACTAGTTTAGAGGTTAGAATTGTGGGCTAAGCCGGGTGTTGTAGCACACGCTGCAATCCCAGGGACTCAGGAGGCTGAGTCAGGAGGATCCTGAGTTCAAAGCCAGCCTCAGCAAAAGCAAGGCACTAAGCAACTCAGTGAGACCCTGTCTCTAAATAAAATACAAAAAAGGGCTGGAGATGTGGCTCAGTGGTTAAGAGCCCTTGAATTTAATCTCCAGTACCTGCCCACTCTCCATCCCCCACAAAGAATAAAAATCATAGCTGTACAGGGGCATGAGGTGAAGGACAGTAGTTAAAGAAGACTTCCACAGTTGTAAACTGCTACATAAGGCAAGTCACTTCATGTTTCCCTCTGTAAAACAGAAGTAATATCTGCCTGCAAGAACTCTAACATCACACAGGTGCAAGCTTTAACTGTCCCCACTGTCTAGAGTACACACTTTAGTTCACTGGATTAGACAAAAAGGAATGAAGGGAAAGGAGAGGAGATGGGAATAGGAAAGACAGTAAGATGAATAAGAAATAATTTCCTATGCTCATATATGAATACACAACCAGTGTAACTCCACATTATGTTCAACTATAAGAATGGATCAAAATTATGAAGAGCTGCATCTCATGTGTGAATGTCAAATATACCCTACTGTCATGTATCTAAAAACAAAACAAAAAAAAAAGAGGATACACTTTAATTTTCTTTAGCTATTATAACCTTGTTCCCCAACCTGACCCAATATAACTGATTTAAAGTGAGCTCTTGGGGCTGGGGAAGTGGCTCAAGCGGTAGCGCGCTCGCAAGGCATGTGTGCGGCCTGGGTTCGATCCTCAGCACCACATACAAACAAAGATGTTGTGTCCGCCGAGAACTAAAAAATAAATATGAAAATTCTCTCTCTCTCTCTGCCTTAAAAAAAAAAAAAAAAAAAAAAGTGAGCTCTTGACCCAAGCTGGGCCAGAATCTCTTTCCCAGGACACTGGAATAAGGACTCAGAGATGTTAGTTGGTTCCTGCCTGCTACCTTGATCTGAGACAGAATACACTCAGTACCTATACAGGGCTACAGGCTGACATAGGCATGGAACAGTACCAGAAGAGAATGAAATAAGAGGAACAGTGAATGAGAGATAAGAGACCTCATGGCTACAGGAAGCCAGATAAAAAGTAGTTGTCTCATTTTCTGACAATGATCCAGTCCCTCAGGAGGACTGTTAATATTCCTATTAATATTATTTCTATTAATCAATTTYTTTAAACTTCTTGAGTGGGTTATTTGTAATAAAAAAAATTAATAACTAAAATGTTTTATTATGAGATTACAGAAAATGTTTGTCAAAAAATAAAAAGTATTCTTTGATTTCTTTCTTAAGGGTTCTGTAGTTTTCATTGTATATGTTTTTCACCTCTTTCATTGATTCCAAGTATTTCATTTTATTTTTGAGGCTATTGTAAATGGAGTAGCTTTCCTCGTTTCCCACTTATATACAGAAATGCCTTTAGTTTATGGGTGTTGGTTTTATATCCTGCTACTATGCTGAATTCATTTACTAGTTCTAGGAATTTTCTGATGGAACTTTTTGGATCTTCTAGGTATAGAATCATATTGTCAGCAAATAGTGCTAATTTGAGTTCTTCTTTTCCTATCCATATCCCTTTAATTTCTTTCATCTAACTGCTCTGGCCAGTGTTTTAAGAACTATGTTAAATAGAAGTGGTGAAAGAGGGCATCCTTGTCTTGTTCCAGTTTTTAGAGGGAATGCCTTCAATTTTTCTCTATTTAGAATGATGGTGGCCTGGGGCTCATAATAGATAACCTTTACAATGTTGAGATATGTTCCAATTACCCCTAATTTTTTTAGTGTTTTGAATATGAAGGGGTGACCAATCAAAATCCCAATGGCATTTCTCATAGAAATAGAAAAAGCAGTCATGAAATTCATCTGGAAAGATAAGAGACCCAGAATAGCTTAGCAATCCTTGGCAAGAAGAGTGAAACAGGTGGCATCACTATATCAGACTTTAAACTATACTATAGAGCAATAACAACAAAAACAGCATGGTATTGGCACCAAAATAGAAATGTAAACCAATGGTACAGAATAGAGGACACAGAGACTAACCCACAAAATTACAATTATATTAGACAATGTATGCCAAAAACATACATTGGAGAAAAGATAGTTTCTTCAACAAATGGTGCTGGGAAAACTAGAAATCAATTTGCAACAAAATGAAATTAAACCCCTATTGCTCACCATGAACAAAACTCAACTCAAAGTGGATCAAGGACCTAGGAATTAAACCAGAAACCCTGAGACTAGAATAGGAGAAAAAGTAGGCCCTAATCTCCATCATGTTGAATTAGGCCCCAACTTCCTTAATAAGGTTCCC